TATATCAGCACATACAGGACACAGGCCATACTTTTAACATCAAACACCCTACAATACATTACAGACGCATCCGTAACCAACATCAAAGACTCATACTAGAATCCATAGAATCCCATAAGCAAGGCAGCATCAACAGAAAAATCGACCTCCCTGAAGCCTATCATGCTCTCCTGGCCTTCATGTAGTTCTCCCTATAGTTGCCCGTGTCAGTCATGTACTATATTTCAACGATATTCCCGTTTCCAATTATAAAATTAGCATCTCTTTTTGAAGAATAGATTCTCTATATGTATTATTTCATAATGATGTAAATTTCTTATTTGCAATTATCTTTACCATAGTTATGTAAATATCATAGATGTATATATTCTTGTCTGCCATGTGTACCATGTTTGTATCGTCGCGTTTGCTTTATACTGCCTGTCGAAGGGTTTTCACCCGAAAGCTTGCGATCATTTAAAATTGTTTAAGAAACTTGTCTTCTTTTATTTATTGATTATAATATTCTATAAACTGTCGGATGTCAATGTGTGGAAAGGATTAAGACCAATGAACTCACTAAAAAATATACAGAGTGTAATAAGGAGATTACCAGGTGAAAGGGTCCGTTGGCTTGGACTTGTTCCATGAGAGAATCCAAGAAGCCGGGGTCCATGATGTCTCCAGTATTGTTGGGCCCAAAATTCCAGCAAGGATATGTAGGAAGGATGAATCTGTCGTCGAAGACAGCTGTAGACATGGAGTGGCCTTCGTAGTAGGGATTGAGGGTGTTCCCTACCCATTGCCACTGCACCATACATTCTGTCAACAATCTCATGTCACAGTAGACACATGGTTAGCATTGAGGATGGGAAATTACAGTAGAACATACTCCATGAGAGGACACTCCTACTAGAAGACATCTTTCTACAAAAAACAGTTTTCCTTTTCAACTATTTTACTATCTAGCAATTCTCATATAAATACAAGGTAATAAGACCAAATCCAAATAAGTAAATAGTGTCTTCTTCTTTCTTATCTCCACTCAATCATATTAGGGTCTGGGTGAAGTAGAATGCCTTTGTCATTAAGACTGGGAACACTACTTAGTGGCAGGCCGACTTAGCTCCAAAAGAAATGCCTGCCTCTGACATGAGGAACAGACACCATTTGCAGCTGCTCCTAACATGGAGTACAAACGCTGCTCATCCTGTATTCCTGGATCAGGAGCCCTTACAGGGTACTATCAGCCGAGCCAGCTGAACCCAGGTTTTTTAGCAAGCTAATAAATAGTGTGTGATGTTTCGGTAAAAGCGTTGTTACCATCTTCAGACAAGAGTACTGATAAGGCACAATTTGGATTGTAGATTATAAACACAAGGTAACAAGTGTATATGAAGTACTCTTGTCTGAAGATGGTAAAAACGCTGTTACCAAAATCTCACACACTATTTATTTATTTAGATTTGGTCGTTTACCTTATATGTTTGAATTTAATTATATTAAGAACTATTTAAAATTTGTTTAGTTCTAAATAACATATTTTTATTTATATTAAAAATGGCATATCCTGACCAGGAGCACATGTGCTTTACAGAAGGCAGAGCGCCATCTGGTGGAACAGAAATCAACTAAACATTGATTTAGCCTGTTCCCTGATATTTGGCCAACCCAATTTCTTGATAAATCAAGAAAAGCAACCCACGAACGCGTTTCGCGCTTTTGGCGCTCGTCAGCGTGGAGTAGGCTGAACCACTGCGACCAAAAAAAGAGTTTTTGGTTCCAGTAGCTTCCTGAAAAACCAAGAAATGGGTATTTAAGGCCAAACTTGCGTAAATACGCTTAGCACATAAAAAAAACGAAAGAAAAAAATTAAAGATAAAAAGATCAGGTGTTGAAATCAATATTAAAAATGGCATATCCTGACCAGGAGCACATGTGCTTTACAGATGGCGCTCTGCCTTCTGTAAAGCACATGTGCTCCTGGTCAGGATATGCCATTTTTAATATTGATTTCAACACCTGATCTTTTTATCTTTTATTTTTTCTTTTGTTTTTTTTTTTATATTTTTATTTATACAGAAATTTATTTCTAAATAAAATGATAAGGCACAAAAAAATTGGATTATAGATTTTAAACACAAGGTAATAAGACCAAATAAATAAATAGTATGTGATGTTTCTGTAACAGCGTTGTTACCATTCTGTGTTTCTCAGAAAACTATCTTCCTCCTTATCTGTTATCTTTTTTACACACTTGATAACAGTTTAAACCATGCTGTGGTAAAATTTCTCATTCAGTACTTTTGTCTGAAGATGGTAACAATGCTGTTACCGAAACGTCACACACTATTTATTTATTTGGATTTGGTCTTATTACCTTGTGTTTATAATCTATAATCCAAATTGTACCTTATTATTTAAAACATGCTGTGGTAAAATTTCTCATTCAGTACTTTTGTCTGAAGATGGTAACAATGCTGTTACAGGAATGTCTCACACTATTTATTTGGATTTGGTCTTATTACCTTGTGTCCTCCACTAGAATAAACAGTGATAACAAAGAATGGTGGCAAATGGGACAAGTCTACTCCAATGGCATCACCAGTATAACTTGTGAATATATATCTAACTCCATATTGGGGGGAGTCAGTGGAAGGATGGTTTAAAACGTTGGTTTTTCAACCGCTAAAATCCGGGATCAAATCCAACATTATGCTTTTTTTTCTAATAAAAAAAAGAAAATGCCCCAATGGCCCCTGTTTCTTGCAAAAGTCCAACCCCACCAACGAGTGCAAGTAACCAAACGGAGCTCTGGCATATTTGTAAGTGCAAAAGTCAAACTGCTTCTCACATGTGTAGATATGTGGTGTACTTACAGTTAAAAGCAATTGTCAACATCTACCCACCATGATTATCATGGCCTGTACCATGTGTACTAGGGACAATAATACAACAGATAAAGAGTTAGACAGGGGGGTTGGATGGGAGATGAAAGTTGAGATGGATAAACTTGGCAAGACATCTTCCCCTCTCCAAATTATTACTATCAGAGGACTCATCCCCAGCAGACACCATCAACAAGCTCTACAAGCTTGATACCCTAATATGATTGTTAAGTGGAGATAAGAAAGAAGAATGAGGGACTCATAAGGTAATAAGACCAAATCCAAATATATAAATAGCATGTTACACATGTGTTTAATACACTATTTATTTATTTTGAATGGGTCTTATCACCTTATGTTATTTATTTATGCTTATGAGGTGATACAGCAGCGTATTTACAATTAGAGAGGAGGCAAAATGAATTAAATCTAGAAAAAAGAAGTGAGGACATATCGGTCATTGACCTCACGGACAATACAGCAGCTACATTATGCACTCATGATATGTCAAACCTTATGTTTATAATCTATAATCCAAATTGTGCCTTATCAAGGAAGGGATTCGTTTTATAATTAGCTGTCCAATTTTACTAATTGGCTCTATAATAGGGGCTCTGTATAAGTATTATCTCCACATAGAACTGAGAGATCCTGTCTGGAGGAGGACAAGATGGAGGAGCCTCCCTCGCTGAGAACAACTGTTTACATTTTACCACCTATGATAAGGCACAATTTGGATTATAAACAACGCTGTTACCGAAATGTCACACACTTTTTATTTTTTTTTGGATTTGGTCTTATTACCATGTGTTCATCCTTTCATACCTCATCCCTAAGGTTAGAAATAATCACTATTTCTCCTTAAAAATAAATTTCGATTTTTCGTTCAAAATAAATACATGGTTCTACAACCATAAGCCACATTATATTGTATTATAAATTAACTAAATCTAACATGAATTTATATTGGTAATTTTGGAGAATTTGTGTCGTAAATTGGGGCAACAGATGATCCTAGCTGCTTCTGTGGAAAAGAAAACCAAAACTCAATACATTTATTAATAGAATGTCCATTCTTTCACAGCTACAGAAGTAATCATTTTTATCCCATCGAAGAAATGTGAGAATTTGTATATAACAATGATACCAATGTAAAATTCAATAATTTTTGTAAATTCATTTTAGATTTTCTTTTCAAAACACAAGGTAATAAGACCAAATCCAAATAAATATATAGTGTGTGATGTTTCGGTACTTTTGTCTGAAGATGGTAACAATGCTGTTACCGAAACGTCACACACTATTTATTTATTTGGATTTGGTCTTATTACCTTGTGTTTATAATCTACTAGCCGAATGACCCGGGCAACGCCCGTGTTTTACCCGATTGAATGTTTTTATTCAAATACTATTTGTTACAATTATAAATTGGCGCCTTAAATAAATGCATATATTAGTTAATAACTATAGCCTATGTGCTTTATCTGTCTATGTACTGTTGGCTTCCGTAGGCGTCTCTTACTGGAAAAAAGAAAGAGAGGATTCCATTTGGTTATTAACTAATATATGCATTTATTTAAGGAGCGACCCGCTCCAACACAATAGTTACAAAAACGAAAGAGCGAGTGGGGGAGGCATGATGGGGGGGGGCAAAGGTGGCGTGATCGTAGCCAACAAATAGGAGGGCGCCATTCCAAAAAAAAAGCAAACAGTGACAGAGTTGATTAGGAGATGAGGAATGACGCTCGTAACTGTATATAGAATAATCCAAATTGTGCCGTATCATGATTTTCTTTTCTGTTTGAGAAAACCAACCTTTCGTTTTTAGTCTTGTTATATTGAATTGTGTATAAAATTAATTGTATATAAGTTGATAAAATGTATTTAGACACAAGTATCCCAAGCTGGGATATTGCATCCGATATGCCAAAAAAAAAATAAACATGACTATATGACTCAATTATGTTGTTTGTTTACAGTGTTTCATATTTCACCAAATCTCTTCTGACCAACTAAATAAATGCAATAGTTTCTTTTTGACTAATTAATATATACAGAGTCATGCACAATCAATTCTGTCATCGTTTGCTTTTGCGAATGGAATAAATACCCAAATATTGCCATTTCTTATAAGCATCGGTGGTTCAGTGGTAGAATGCTCGCCTGCCACGCGGGCGGCCTGGGTTTGATTCCTTTGCCGATGCATTTTTTTTTTTTACAATTTTTAAAACTCATTTATATTATCCCTATACAGTGGTACCTCGACATACGAGCGCCCCAACATACGAGTTTTTCGAGATACGAGCCGACGAGCAAGTGATTTTTTGCTTTGAATTACGAGCGAAATTCGAGATACGAGTTCGGTTCGGTAGTGTTGAATATATTAATCTGTGATTTTAAATGTTTCTTTTTGACCGTACTTTTGTTTTGTTTTTGCTTTTCCTAAAATGTTTCTTTCTTCTTCTTCATTATTATTTGTTCTATATGCAAAGCTTTGTTTTTTGCTTTTGGGGAATTTTGCTTCGAGATACGAGTAATTCAAGATAAGAGCAAGGTTGCGGAACGAATTAAACTCGTATGTCGAGGTACCACTGTTTATATAAAAGACAGTGTATGTATGTATGTATGTTTGTCGGCTATATACGTCCACAATACGTAACTAATATAACTGAAATTTAACAGTATATAGAGTAGAATATGTTTAAACTTATAGTGAAAATTTCAGTTCTCTATCCCGAATATTCGTCAGGTTATTTGAAAATTTGCCCTTTCGCTCGCGAGCAGCGCCTCTAGCGGTGAAGATGGGAGGTAATATCAGCTGACCTAATGTACAGGTAAAGTTTGGAGCGGGACACAAGAGTGACATCCACGGCGCCAATTTATAATTGTAACAAATAGTATTTGAATAAAAACATTCAATCGGGTAAAACACGGGCGTTGCCCGGGTCATTCGGCTAGTGTAAAACATTTGACAGTTGAAATAGTAACATAGAACATTATATTCCTTCTAATTTAATTTTTTGTTTTTTAAATAAATTTTATGAGTCCACACAGAATATTATTTAATTTTTGAATGTTCTACAACTCTCACAATCCTCATAAAATATTATTACATTTAAAATCATGTAACAATTTAATGTAATCCATGCAATTATAATCAATTTAATTTCAAAGCATTTAACTTTTATTGTAAAATTATATAATCTTACCATGTGATTCTGTCTCTTGCTATCTAAATAAAATTCGAGAGCATTAATGAATGCACCAGGGGCTTCACAAATATGTAAACTTCTAAAGAATAATGTGTCAACCAGCCCGTAGGAATGAAGAATTTCATAAAATTTACACCATGCTTGAGTCAAAAGTGTAATTTTATAACAGCATTTGATGGTATCCAACACATATCCCGCTCTATTAGTAAAATCCGTGTGTTTTCTCCAATGATTAACTTCTTTATCATTCAGAAGACTTTTGGTGTTGTTTAGTTCTGCTTTTAATTTCTCCAAATGAGGATCCGTCCATTTCTCTTCGACGTAAGTGTTTTCATTGTTGCACGGAGGTAAATTATATTTCGAAAAAGTAAATTTTTTATTGAAATATTTCTCGATATCGGCCATTTGTAAGGATTAAAATCGGAGACGCAGGATAGTTTGTTTACAAAACGAAATTAAAAGGCAGATAAGTTCCTATTGAAAACAGATTTTAGAATTTCACTGATAAATATTTAAAATGTTTTTTTTTTTTTAATGACATCTTCACCTTCCAGTCTAGAAGACTGGACTACTAATACCTTACGACTGCTGATTAATTATAATCAAAGTTTTTGTTTTTAAAGTTTTTAAAAAGATTCCCACACTGTATATAAAACAAAAATTAAATTTATTTAAATATTTCAGCACCTTTTAGTTTATTAAAATTAATATATAGAGAGTGTATGAAAATACATTTTAAAAATTAGTAATGTATTCATATGCTCAAAAAAAACATCTCTCTTTTTTAATGAATTCATAGAAGGAATGCTAGCATATTAAATGCCTCAAAAAATTTCAAACTTCTCTGAGAGCAGAAAGCTCATATTGTAATCAAAGAATAAGCCTATGCTTGATATTAGTATTTTGTTCAATTTTTTCTAGAAAGGTGCTGAGGCTTTTCATAGATAATGTTGCTTTTTTTCCGCAGAGAAAAATCAAAAGAGGCCATGTTTTAATGTATTCAAAAAATGAGTTTTTATGCATTTACGAGCAATGGTCGATCCAGGCAGCGCCCAGGTTTCACCAAACCCGACTGCAATTTTTATTTAAATGTATAAGCGAAAATTAAATGCTATATTTTTAATTAAGTAATATTTGTCAAAATTATATATTATGATCCAGGCGAAAATGGGTTCTTCCCTCGTGAGTGACTGCTTCCCCTAAGAATAATGCTTCAATATTGTATTTGCTACATCTTAATATCACTTTAAAGTAAAATAATTTGAAAATAAAAATTGTAAATGAAACATAGATTGATTTTTTATTATCACAAATACAACTAGTGCAGGCTATGGTAATCATTGTGAGTTGTAATTAGCGGCAGCTTTTATTCAAGTATAGAAAGCAGTTTGTATTTTACATTTATAAGTACGAAAAAACTATAGAAAAAAATAAAAGATAAGTGGGTCAGGTGTTGATATTAAAAATAAAGAAGGCATCTCCTGACCACGAGCACATGTGCTTTTTAGATAGCAGAGCGCCATCTAGTGGAGCAAAAATAAACTAAACGTTTATTTAGCTTGCTCCGAGATATTTGGCCAACCCAATTTCTTGATAAATCAAGAAAAGCCATCCACGAACGCGTTTCGCGCTGTTGGCGCTCGTCAGCGTGGAGAAGGCTGTAACCACTGCGACCAAAAAGATTTTTGGTCCCAATGGCTTCCCGAAAAATCAAGAAATAGGTATTTAAGCTAAATAAACGTTTAGTTTATTTTTGCTCCACTAGATGGCGCTCTGCCATCTAAAAAGCACATGTGCTCGTGGTAAGGAGATGCCTTTTTTATTTATAAGTATAGCCCATTTAATTATTTGACTCAATAGTGGGGTTGAACTATTGCAAGAATAAGAAGCCATTGAAGCGATTTTTTCTTAGAAAAAAAAAATTCCCAAAGAGGGATTCAAATCCTGGTCATGGCTGTCGAAAATCGATGGTTTATAAAAAATAATCCCTCAACCTCTTAGTTGAGGGTTAATGATAGCTATAATGGTATGTTAATTAGAATCCTCCTTAAATAAATAATTGAAGTGAAAATGATATAATCAAAATAAATAATACTAGCTCCATTTACAACGTCCAAGTGAATTTTTACCTGAGTGTATATGTATAAAAATGCTGTTTTTTAAATCATATAACATCCTATAATCGTTACATCACCAAACATTATAACCCTCTTCCAATTTATTCAGGCATTTTGTATTGAGCTCTTCTTCCACTTTAAAAGCAGCTATTCATTTTATGAAGCATGTTTCGCTGAAGCATTAATGATGTTTCTGTAATTGACATTTAATTTTTTTGCACAGAAATGAATAGATATTGATTGTTCGAAAATTTTAGAGATTAGAAATTCTCCGTTAATAGTTTAAGGCAAACAAAAATTAATTATTATGACAAAATAACTGTTAGAACTCATGGAATATTGTATGTATATATGTAAATATTACAACTATTTTTTCATATTTTTGGTTTTTTGTGTGTCTGACCCCTCAGCGAAGGGGAATCTATTTTTTGCTGTTTCTTCTCCTCTTTTCACACACCGCCCCCCCCCCTTGCCGAGAGAATGTAAGCGTCCACCGGCCGGATGGACCGTCCAAAGTACCCACCGACCAATTGGAGGGGCGGAGGGGTCAAAAAGGTCGGGGCGCGGGCGCCAGAGTTGGTGTCACAGTTGTGCCGACAAGACAAGAAAAAATCCTCGCGGGGGCTTGCCCAAGAGGAGCTCCGGGATCTTCGTCCATCTTCCATAAACGACCATACAAGCGGTCTGAGAAGGGACTGAGTGGCTGACATCTCAAAGAAAGGTGAAGCCGAGACGAATCGTTGAGAGATTCGCATAGTGGTTGGAGTACATCAAGAGCGACGAATTGTGCTTCATCTGAAGATTCCAGGAAGTTCGTCGAGGACAGACGAAATTGTGCTTCCAAGGCAGGGGGGCTCGGGCAAGCCGACCTAACAACTGAGAGGAACTGTTTTTTGGTGAGCACTCTCTCACATGCTTTTATTTCCTAAAAATTGATATATTTTTTATGTTAATCTAGCATATTTTGTAGTATTTTTCTTTTTCTTATTTTTACTAAGTTTTTTTTTCTATTTTCGTCAATATCATCATTATATATTTTATTTTGTTAAAAAACATTTAAGTTGCATGCAAAAATTTTGGAATATACAAAAATAATAAGTTTTCATATATTTTTTTATCCTTCATTTTATAGCTAACATTAAACAAAACTTTATATGTGTAACCTTTTGTTGTCTTCCTTTTTTCTTGCTTGAACACCCAAGGCAGCCCAAAACAATATCAAACTTTAGGTTAAAGTTTTTATTTTGTTAAAAAGGGGGTTTGTGGAGCGTTCAGAATTTTTCTTTTCCTCCACGAGCTTTTTTAATTACCCCGTTCTTAACATTATATATTTTTGGCGTCCCCGGGTGGGCTGCATTGGCTGGTCAGATCGAGAAAAAAAAAGAAAGGTTTCGAGAAAAATTATATAGTAAATAATGCAGAATATTGATATCTTAAAAAGGGCTAGAGCCCCCAAAAGAGCTATTTTTACTCGGCTGTCCACCGAGTTTTGGGCTGAAATAGAAAAGCCAGATTTCGATACAGAAAAATATAGAGCTAAATATAACCGAATTTGTGCTCTCTCTAAGGAAATAAGTGAAATTGATTCAAGGTATCATGGGCTCCTTCTGGAGGATGAAACCATAACGGAGGTCAAAATCGAAGAAGAATTCGAGGGTTGTGAAAACTATGTTCAAGGGATGTTTGACATAGAAAATAAATATTTGTCTCGGTGTGAAACCGCGAGGGATAGGGTCGACGGCTCATTGGTGGAGTCCGCGGCGAATTCGGTTGTGAATACCGAATCTAAAAGAACTATAAGGTTGCCAAAAGTGGAGCTACCAAAATTTAAGGGCAACCTAGAGGATTGGCTCTCATGGTGGGGGCAATTTAGTAA